TTAGAATGAAAACTGAAAACTAGTACCGCCTTTGGCTCTACATCCAACTCCATTAGACGAGAACTGTGTCAGTTCTAGCTATCGCCCGCAGATTCGTTTGTTCCAATTTCGAAGGAGTATCTAAAAATCGTTCCTCGGTGATTATCGACATAACAACTACTACGCTCCACGACAGAACCTTTCAATTTATTTGTATTTAACGTAGTGATGATTTTGTTACAAATAAAAAGAATAATTCGCGTACCTAAATTTCGTTTTATAATTTTAGCTACTATAGAAATTCATGATGTCATTGTTTATTATCGTCAATAGTGTCTACCTCTACGAGCATCTTGAATGATTCGAGATACTATAATTTTCAACAGTAACTAAGTCAACAGATTTTGTTGTCAAAACATCACTTGACACGCTCATTTTTTGAACATACGAGTATTAGAATCCCTATATATTTTTCAGACTATATAATCCATAAAAATCTTACAGATTAATTTGATTTGTTAATTTTATTTCCATCAAAGGAGATTAGAGCAGAATTAATTTGTTAAAAAAAATCACTAATAGATACACAAAACCAATTACCTTTGAGTCCTGAATAAAACGTTCTTGAAAAGTATGTATTATTGAAAACCATACTTGCTACATCCTCGTTATATTATAAGCTAAAACAATTTATAAATAACAAAGAAAGAAAAATAATATATATAAACAAAGTACAAAAACAAAGGCGCAAACCCAAGGCGTGAGATCGAGTTTGAATTTCTAAAATGCTTTGATGTGCCACCCGAAAGCACCCGAACCCCAAATTGTTGAGTAAACAGCGACCGTCGCTTTTTTTCTTTGTGTCAATAGTCCACATTTCAGTGCATAAGGCCTACTGCTTAAATTTATATGAGATGACATTAATTTATGTATATCACAGAATTTATGCTTTTCAATATTGTATACTTCTGAAATTACAGTTAAATAAAAAAATAAGACAGTTCCTCGCCATTGATTTTATAAAAAATATTATAATAAAAAAAATATATAAATTAGTCATTAACTGTATTAAACTTACAGCAAGATAAATAAATAAAGTTAATTCACACACCGCCAGTTACTAAACTAAAGAGTTTGTACTTATGCTTATAATATTATTGTAGAAATAATATAATGGATGATATTTTAGTAATAAATACTTACTACACTTCTGTAAATATGTGAATAATACATGTACATAATAAAATTAAAATATTCCGATCATTGTAAGAGTCGATACATAATTCAATGCACACAGCGACATATAGTTCCAAGCTAAGCAGAACTTATGTTATGGGTACTAGACAACAGATATAAATACATGGATACATTTTTTAAATAAATACATATTATACATAGAAAATACCCAGACCGATACAAACAATCATACTCATGAATACAAATGTTTGTACCGTGCGGGGAATCGAACCTACTACCATCTCATAATAAAGCGGTGTGCTAAACCACTAAACTACCGAGGCTTTGTGAATTATCCTGAGATTTTATTAGTATTATATAATATTGAAGAGTACTGATGAAGCGGCGAGTAAAAAGCCACTACATGCGGGAATTTAACCGGACCTACAGGGCATCCTTCCACAGTCATACAATAACGATACCCACTGATCTGCAATCAAATTCAGAGCACTGTTAAAGAACGATGTGTACATTGGATTCATGCAGAAGACGTCCGGGTAGCAGGAAAACGGAAACAGAATAAAACGAAACAAAGTAGTTTGCATAACAGTCTTCTCTAAATCTCCAATCTTCGTCTAAGAGTAATTTTCCAAAACTGTACTATTAAAATTATATTATTTGTTGCTTTTCTAATCGGAAGCACAAAAATGTGTAATGATATTTTATTAATGTTAACAAAAGACGGCGAGCACATAGAATAAGCGCTCTTTTTTCTTCTTTTTTTAAAAGAAATATATAACTGGCCGCATTATTAGCGGCCAGTTATATATTTCATAATTCCAACGCATATCTTGACTAGATTTAGCCACGATCAATAGATTTATACATATATGAAGTTTATCAGTCAATTAAAATATTAGTATGTATGTTGGCGACAGACCTCTTTTTATAGATATTTCTATTTTTGAACCATATATTTTTTATATACAATTTTTGACATATATTTTTTATTATATTGTTTTGCTACATTGTTACATATACGCTACCACTAAATAGATCACTATAAGTTTGGTAAGTAATTTTATTTATATTACCCTATTTCACTGCCGTTGCCAACCGTAATATTAGTCCTTCTACCGGTGTAATTACCAGCTAATATTAAATATTTTATATACAACAAAAATTTATATAATTTACTTCCGAATATTTCAACAAATGGTGTTGACAAGAGGTATGGCAGCGGCATAAAGCGCCCAAACGGATCTAGATATCCCTCCTTCAGAGGTATCCGCTAGCGCTTCACGTGTCATTAATCCCCACGGTTCACATCGCGGCTCCCATCATTCATCGACCTCACTCCGAGCTCAACGTCTTGCGGCAAAAGCACTACATGTACGTCGCTTAGCCGAGCTCGAGGCCGACCGAGATCGCGCCGCCGCCGAGCGGGAGCGAGCCGCCGCCGATCGGGACCGTATGGTAGCTAACTTAGAATTAGAGGCTGAATTAGCGGCTATTGATGAAGCTGCCAGCTTGCACTCACAGTCGTTTAGAAGCTCTAGAGTAGAAAATTGGGTATCTCATACTAATGCATCTTTGTCTGAGAGACAGATTATGCCGTCCCAGCACACACCTGCGCCACAAGTGCCTAGTGTTTCCTGCCCAATGCTGGCCACAGACTGCGAGCGTGTGGTCTCGCCTGGCGTCTGTGTCACTGGCATCAGTGCCGGTGCCGCGGCGCGCGAGCACGCGCCCCACATCGCATCTGTCCAACCGTCATTGGAAGTACCGGAAGCATCATTACGATGCGGCCGCAAGCGCGCTGCCTCGCCAGGCGTTGCAAATATATTATTTGCGACGCGCGAGCACGCGCTTCCTTCTGCGCCCGTACGTACGCAGTGGCAGCATCAAGTGCCCACGGCGTAACCTCCACCCAAAACTACAGCTACGGTGTGCCTCAGCCAGGCACTACTGCGACACTGGGAGCTACAAATGAAGCCGGCGCGTTGCATTCCAAGCCGGGCGGCTTGGAATGCAATAATCCTTAAAATAAATCTCACGTTCATAATCCTTGTACACAGACACACACAGTTAGGTACACAAAACGAATTTATTTGTAACCAAAATAAAAATGACCGCTCACATGTACCTACCACTTCACAAAACCAACCCAGTGACTTCCTGAAGTTGGCTGAAGTCATAAGTGACCTCGCCCGTTGTAGCAGTGAAAAAATTAACCCAGGTACGGTAGTTAGCTTGCCTATATTTTCCGGCACGTCACCCACTCATTGGTTAAAATTTAGAAGTTCATATCTAAATTCCAAAAATATGTTTTCGGCGACGGAAAATATAGGTCGATTAAATAATGCACTCCGAGGAGCCGCTCGTGATGCTGTCATTTCCCTCCTGGCCTTGTCGCAAAACCCAGAGGAAATCATGGAGGCTCTGCAGGAGCAGTTTGGTTAACCTGAGCTTCTGATCCGTCACTTAGTATTAGAAGTTAAGGCCATGTCCAAGCTGTCAGCATCTGACAGTGGCAAGGAACTCCACCAGTTAGCTTGTGTGGTACGCAACTGTGTCCACACCATAAAGATGTTGGGTTATGTGGAGTAAGAGTTGTTGCATAGTGTGCTACTTAAATTAACTCCACTGATACGTGAGAAATGGGTTGATAATGCATTCATAAATGCCGATACCGGGTTCCAATATAAATTAGAATTGCTTTCCGCGTTTCTCACACATCAATCTCTAGTTCATTTGATGTTTGGCATTGTCGATGACATTTCGCGCCCTAAGCCCATAGAAAAGGCTCGCACGCATGTCACGACTAATGTCAGCTCAGACGAAAGTCCGAGTGACATATGTTATGCCACCGCCTCAAACTCCATAGCTCGTAAGTTGTCAAAATGCAAAGTTACTGCATCTACGGCCGCGGTTATTAATAGTAGGTCCTCAAATTCTTACTCTATTGCTTATTATTTATACTGTCAAAAGAATGGTCATGAAGTCTCAAATTGTGATTTATTTAAAAATATTTCTGTTAATGATAGATGGGATTGGGTTAAAAATAATAAAGTTTGTCAAAGATGTCTCAAGCGGGGCAAACATTATTATAGGACTTGCAAAGGTAACTGCAGGGTAATAAATTGCAAAGGTGGATATTACCATCATGAGTTACTTCACAAACAGTTAACAAATTTTGTTCATTACAGTTCGACAACAACTGGCGAACGTGAAGTAAGTTCGGAGAGTGAAGTCGCACCAGTAATTGTGGCGCACGCTCACGGCAGCAGTGTGGTACCGTGCGAGACGCCCTCTCTTTCGCGCTCACTTCTTAAAGTGCTGCCGGTAACTGTAACTGGACCAAAGGGTGAGATGGATATTTACGCTTTATTGGATGACGGGTCTACAGTTACTCTGATTGACCAAATAGTAGCCGACACAATCGGTGCACAAGGGCCGAAAGGCACTATTCAAGTTAATTGTGTGGGCGGCTTGGCGAAAGATTCTGTAGTAACCAACATTGATATTAACATCAAAGGCAAGCACTCTGTCGAAACCTTTAATTTAGAACGAGTTCGCTCAATACCTAATTTGGGTGTAGCATGCCAAACAATTCATACTGTAGATGTTGCAAAGTTCTCTCATCTTCAGGATTTGGTGAAAGTACTGTCTTACGAGGAAGCCAAGCCTCTCTTAATAATTGGTATTGACAATTGGCATTTGTCATTACCGCATGGCATCCGATGCGGTTCTCGTAACCAACCTGTGGCTGTCCAAACCGTTCTAGGATGGACAACGTTCGGTAGGCTTCCGGGTAAATCCGCGGAGTTTATCCATCATAAGCTATGATTTCCGATTTAGAATCTTTAATAAAAGAAAATTATCATCTCGATTCGATTGGCATTACAAAAAAGGACTTCCACAGCATAAACGATAAGCGAGCTTTGGCTATTTTAAATGAAACCACCCAACGTCTTCCTTCAGGTAGGTTTGAGACTGGTTTGCTCTGGCGACCTGATATCATCTCAATTCCAAACAGTTATAAATTAGCTTTATCCAGATTTCATAGTTTAGAAAGAAAGTTTAAAAAGGATCAAAATTATGCCGAAGCTTATAAACAGTATATAAATGGGATGATAGAGAAAGATTACGCAGAGCTTTGTACTAATATACCTCCTTTAGGTAATTTATGGTATTTGCCTCATTTTGGAGTATATCACCCCCAAAAGAAAAAGCTGAGGCTCGTTCATGATGCCGCGGCTAAATGTTCAGGAGTTAGCCTAAATTCTCTGCTACTCCCTGGCCCTGACCTCTTACAACCCTTATTAGGAATTCTCATGCGTTTTAGGGAAGGTGAGGTAGCTCTCAACGGAGACATTCGTGAAATGTTCCCGCAAACAAAAATTAGGGCACAAGATAGAGATGCACAACGTTTTCTCTGGCGAGACGATCCTTCTCTACCTATAGCAGAATATAGAATGTCTTCCATGATCTTCGTCCAGTCCGTGCACCGCCATTTTTCTACCGACATCTCCTTCGCAAGTTAGAATTTTAGGGGTGGCCTGGAACATCAAGGAAGATACTCTTAATTTTAGAAAGTCCACAAACCAGTGTGACAAAAAGAGTCTTGTCCCAACTCATGAAGGTTTACGATCCTCTTGGATTTTGATGCCACTAACCATCGCCGGTCGCATCTTATTTCAGGAAACATGGAGAATGGGTATTGACTGGGACGAGGAGTTGCCTGCCTCTGCTAAGGCAAAGTGGCAGACTTGGTTCGCGGGTATAGCAGAAGTCTCGGCCAAAATTAAAATACCACGCTGTTACCGAACCAGATTTGCTGCGGAATGCCAGCTCCACGTCCTAGCCGACTCAAGTGAATCCGCTTACGCTTGTGTGGCGTTTTGGCGTTTTGTCCACCAGGACCAATCTGTTCATTTGGCTCTTATAGGTGGAAAAGCGCGCCTTTAAAGCCTGTGTCTATCCCACGGCTCGAGTTACAGGCGGCTCTCATGGCTTCTCGATTCGCAACTTACATCCTGGAGGCACACCGTCTTGTTGCTTCTAGAGTTTTCTTTTGGACGGATTCCCTAACGGTTTTAAAGTGGTTGCGTAGCGATGCCCGCACGTTTAAGCCGTTTGTTGCTCACCGTGTAGGAGAAATATTAGAGACTACAAATGTTGCCAATTGGCGTTATGTTCCATCGGCCTTAAATGTAGCAGATGATGCTACACGCGGTCTATACTCTCTTTCCTCTTCTTCTCGATGGTATACTGGCCCAGATTTTCTTTTGTCTCCACCAAAAGAATGGCCTCGCGAGCCTGCGGTCATTACTCCACTAGTAATAGAGGAACTAAAACCCGAACACGCGTTAACATTTTTGCTAACCGAACATCCGGAAATGCCATCTCCGATCGTAGCGAATCACGATCATTTCGGTCGTTGGGTTCGGTTGGTTAGAGCAACCGCTCGTGCACATCATTGTGCTAAAATATTTCGGTCGCTTTTGAAAAAACCTCCAAATTCAAAATTAAAGAGTGCTGCCTCCAAGGTCTCCTTCAAAGTTTTGAAACCTCTTTCGGCCGCAGAAATCTTGGAGGCCGAGAGGCACCTATTTTTATATACTCAATTGGAATCATTTAAACACGAATTCTTGAGTCTTACCGCGGGTCTTCCCCCAACTAATCAAGGGAGGCTTAGAGGTCTTGTGTTGATGTTGGGAGAAGACGGTTTAATCCGTTTAAATGGAAGAATTCGTGCTGTATTAGATGCTCCCGCGCAGGACATTAACCCTATTGTTTTAGACGGTCGACATCCAATTGTAAAACTCCTTCTCGATCACTATCATCGGAAATTTGGTCATGGTAATATCGAGACCGTCGTTAACTTCCTGCGCGGCAAATTTTATATAATAGCTTTACGCCCAAGTGTCAGGTCTGTTGCCAAACAATGCAGTTTCTCTAGGATTAGAAAGCTTCTCTCATCTACGCCTCAATTTGGTGATCTTCCTGAAGATAGGTTATCCCATCATCAGCGCGCGTTTTCCTTCTGCGGTCTTGATTACTTCGGCCCAGTCGAAGTTGCCGTTGGGCGCAGACGAGAAAAACGCTGGGTAGCTCTATTCACATGCCTTACTATCAGAGCCGTTCATTTGGAGATCGCAGGAAGCCTTTCTGCAGATGCAGCTATCATGGCCCTAAGAAGATTTATTGCCCGTAGAGGATGTCCAGCGAGAATCATCTCAGATAACGGCACGGCTTTTGTCGGTGCAGCCAACCAACTCACAGACGTCTTCGACTTCGCAGCCAACCATAAAATAGAGTGGGTCTTCATTTGTCCAGCGGCACCATCAATGGGAGGTGCGTGGGAACGCTTAGTGCGATCAATAAAGTCTGCGCTTTCCGTAACCCTGAAAGAACAAGCTCCAAGAGAGGAAGTATTGAGTACCCTACTTCTGGAAGCGGAAGCAGTAGTCAATTCTCGTCCGCTGACACACGTACCAGTAGAGCCGGAGACACTACAGGCCCTCACACCCTTCCATTTTTTATTGGGCACACCATCAACCGAGTTGGTCCGTCCCCGCACCGATGCAGACCTTTGCCGTCGCTTAGACCACAGGAAGGTACTGCGGTTAGCGGAGCTGTTTTGGGCCAGATGGCTTCATGAATCACGAAAGGCCGGATCGACGCAAGCCGAATTCAAAGTGGGAGATCCAGTTCTGGTGGCGGATCCAAATCTTCCGCGAGGAACCTGGCCCAAAGGCCGTATTTCTAAGATATTCACCGGTCCTGACGGAGTGGTCAGGGTGGTGGAGATCCGGGGAAGCATGGGGATCTTGAAAAGACCAGTGCGCAAAGTGTTGCCCTTACTCCTAGAGCAGGGCACCCAAGAAAACTGCGCACAGTCGCCACTGTAGATTGGTGCTCTGCACCGGGGCGTGCCATGTTGGCGACAGACCTCTTTTTATAGATATTTCTATTTTTAAACCATATATTTTTTATATACAATTTTTGACATATATTTTTTATTATATTGTTTTGCTACATTGTGTCATATACGCTACCACTAAATACATCACTGTAAGTTTGGTAAGTAATTTTATTTATATTACCCTATTTCACTGCCGTTGCCAACCGTAATAATGTATATGTATTATTATATTATAAAAACTATTTTAGCCCTTGTTCATGACTTCTGCGAATTTTTGTAATACAAACAAGCATTTATTAGATAGGGTTTTGAAATTGGTATTGTTCAGTAGCTTGTAACTAACTCCACATTTCATTGATCCCTATTATTGTTTTAGACCAAATTCCACGAATCTATAGTAAGCCGCAACTAACTGGTAACTAATATTGTTGTTTAATGAAATAGTTTGACTGTACTCGTGAATAAAATATGTTTAGTACACGAGTTCCTATTGAGTAAATGCAACCAAAGTTGTATCGTTGTATCTACTAGCTACCCTTAGGGGCTATCAATTTGACCGTGGGATCCCCATTGTAAATTCTCGAAAACATAAGGAATACTGCCATAGGAAAGTTATTATAACCATTTTATTGGTCGTAAAGAACCCTGTAAAAGCTGTTGGGGACGTTAGAAATATTCCGAAATGAATAAAAGCGTTTACCTACATTCTGATTTCCTTAGATATTTTTAACTGTAAAATTATAGTTTATATATAGTTTAGTATGGTTACTACGAAACAAATTACGTATGATATCGAGTCAATACTTATGTTATGCAACTGACATTTCTATATGTTTTTATCTAATGACCTTTATTCTTGAAAACACTGACAAAAAACCAATTTGTATATCCAAGTCAAATATCAGACATCTTGACTAAGTTTTATATAGTTATATGTTAGTGATTTGGTCTAGGGGAGCCAGCAAGTAAACAACAAAGCAGAAATGTAAACAGTATTTTACTGTGCCAGACATAGTTGGTGCAGACCACTTTACATAAACGTGCGGCCACTGGAAATGATCAATAAATGTATTACTTTACTATAAATATTAATATTTTTTAGTGTATATCAATATTATAAAAATGCGAAGTTTGTCTCTTTAATTGTTCTATGTAATATTCGTTACTGCTGATGTGATTTTGAAAATTATTTTAGTATAGTTAGTAGTATAGACCATCTATCGAGAAATTGTAAGTTCTATAACATCATGCTACGAACAATAGAAGCGGAGCTACAAAGAAAAATATTGGCGCTATCGAAGTTGCGCAGGTCACCTAGTTACACATACCGATAGATTTAAAAAAAATGACAGATACCAAAAATACATCTATGTATTTTTGTTTTATTTTATTCATTTTTATTCTAGAACAATCAGACTTTGAAGGAATAAAATTAATAAAACGTCTACTAGTGTTATATGATATCTGTTTGTGCTTGAATTGTATTCAAGAGGAGAAAGTCCTCTGAGTGGGTGCCTATTTTAGCAATTTCTGTGGATAGCAACTTAGTCTGCATCTGTTTGACGGGTAAGATAAGATTCCGAAGTTATAATGTCTTAATCTCCAGGAATGGCAACACATGCGAGTTGTTATTGGCATTTCAATATGTTCTGTAATGTCTATGGTGCTTAGTGATGATGGTTTTTTTAGTAGATCTCACTTTCCATTAGGTCCTTGGTACTTACCTCATTCCATTTGGTGGACCATGAGCTTATTTAAACATTCCAGTTACCTAATAAAAATGTGTAACTATTATTATATAAAACAATCCATAAACAACTCGTCCATCAGCAGCAGATTATTCCGCATTTGAATATAGAAGCAATATCATGTTCCAAATATTAATATATATTCAGTAACTTTTCAAATTATGTGATCACCTTTCCTAATATGAACAGTTACATTCTGTCACTCCAGAAGACCTGTTATTGCCATCAAGTCAGTACCTGCATTAACTTACCATAGATTAGACACAGATATAAAATATGTATGTAGCATTATAGCTTACTCTAGGTATTATTATGAGAACAAAAATACGAACAATACAGAAATGATGTTTATATTACAATTATAAACTAAGAATTAAAAGGTCTTTACGCAACGATTATAATTAGAACCGAATGAATATTATTCATTTCGTATTCTAAAAGTTATACCTACTACCTCATCATACTCTCCTACATGAAATACAATAAACATGCTAATATTATAAATATAAAGTATATGTATGTCTTTTTAAGGCTAAAATGGATGAGTAGGCTAAATGACTAAATGAATAGATCTTTATAAAATTTGATAAAAAAATAGATTGTATCACGAAGGACGAATATAGATTATCCTTCATCTCTAACAAAGCTGACAACATAATAGTATACTTATGTATAGTTATATCTAGATGTTTGTGTTCTTTGTTGAAACAGTTCAACATCTGCAAGATACGATGGCCGCCAGCATCACAAACGTAGACTTGCATGTTTGTTTACTAAAACCATTCTAGAACTAACTGAACCACTTGAAACTTAAACGCACTGGTCACTTTGCTCACTGTTACTGAAACTGCAAGACTTAAATAATAAAGCCACATAGTAATCCTGCTATTCTGAAATATTTTAAAGATAACTCATTTATCACATTATGGCAAAAATAATAACTTTTTTCTATTTACACGTTTTCTATGTGTGAAATGTGAATGACAAAAAAGCTGATAGCTCACCTGATGGTAAGAAATATCTGTATATATGTCTGTATCTGCCTATACATGAACGATACCACTGATGGAGCATTATCATATGAAGTTTGTAGTTCATGAATTCAAAACACGACTTGCCATTCCGAAAGATGAAGATGTCATGACTTCGTACCCTGTAATTTCACTGCCTTATCTCTCTCTTCAATTACTATAACTACAAAGTCTACCTCGAAAGAATACTTACTATACATACTTTTCTAAATTTAATTACTGTATAATTTAGATTTTTCTTTACACAAACTGTAAGATTACAGCTTTTAGTATATTATTAATGCTAACTTATGATATTTTGATTTACTGATTAGTTGCGAACCAAGTCAAATATTGAAGATGCGGTGTAAGAGTGTTTTAATAATATATGTAGAATAGTGACCATCAGTAAAAATATATTCAAAGTACGAATCGTTAACACAAGATTGATTAGGCTTGATAGTCTTAAATAATGTCTAAAGCCTTTATGTTGACATTCATAAATTAGTAGTCCCTAATAATATAAAAGAGAAAACTAACGACAAGTGATAATTACATGTATCAAAACCGTATACCTATACCGATACATATGCTATTTACGAGAGTATGCCACTAAATAACAGAAAATGGTTTAGGATACGAGTATTATGGAAGAAAAAAAGCATAACAAAGAGGAAGTGCTTTAAATCTAAATGGCTTCCCATGTACGTAACATGAAATAAAATATAATGGCGGGTAAGTATCCACACCTACAAATTTCCTTAGAAATATTTCCACATAATAATAGGGGATCGGGCGTCTTTGCAGGTCATTTTCGTCGGATATGATGGCCGAACGATTTCAATATGCGGCATATTTCAAATATCTTCGGGGTGCTGCGTTCTTTGACGACCGTATTACCGAGAGACCGCGAGCAATCAATTAAATTACTCGAATAAAATATTAAATTAAATTCCTCTCTTTATTGCCCTTCATACCCAAGACTGTGATTAAATTTTTTGAAGCGTTTCTATTTTGTTAGCATCATTTTAGGTGTTGAATCTAACACTAGTATATGCTATTAAGATATTATATATTTTTTTGTATATATGTTCTTAAAGGATAAACTCAAAAATTAAAATCCTTTTACACATAGAACGGTACATTATCAGCAAGTAATATAAGTTATATTAACATCACAATGGGAATTGCAGGTGAACTGGCCTTTTAGAAAGGAATATCCTCTTTACTTGTTCAATTATGATATCGGTTTGTAATTACCGCTGCTAAAAGTTGATTCCACAATGATGAACAGGTGACTCATTATTAAACCCTACTCTATTGCAAAATAAAAACATCATCCATATCATTAATCTATAATTTCTCAACAAAATAGACACACTATTCACTGCTTTAAGTACAATCAGTTATTTCCACTAGCTACACCTAATTAAGAATAGCTATGCTTACTGCACTACCATGTAGGCCTTAAAAGTTCAGTCCATTTAGAACTTAAGTTCACGAAAAAGTAAAATAAATTATACCTTCTATAGACTAATAAAGAATAAAATATTAATTTAATTTAATAAAATCGTTTTAATGTGGTTCACGCTCTTCCAAAGAGTTTCCATTTTTAAAGAAATAAATGAAAACATTATGCAGTAATTGGTTAGTCCATAATTACTTTATTCATCTTTCCTGAACCATGCACCATCTGTTTTTTTTTTACTTAATTAGACACCTGGCTATCCGAAGTGAAACCCCTTTGTCCCCATTAGTAAACTAATTGGAACAAGGCGGCGTAACTAGAAGATATTTTTAATTAAGTTTTTATACATCAAACCAAATGTTCTCTCTTATAAACGTCAGAACATTTTGATCAATTTTTTAATTATATGGTTAATTGAGTACAGAGGTATAGTATTAATGAAACAACATTTCTGCAAAAGTTGAAATTAAAAATTGAAAATGATTATTATAAACTTCATACAAACTGTTTGATTAATTTATTATAAGAATTTCATTCTTTATTTCCCTTTCATTCTTCATGAAAAAGTTTTTTACTTTCCTGATTATTCTGTCTGATTCTTGGTTTCTTAGTATACCTTTTATACACATCGACCTCACTTATTTGATATAAATATCAAAGTCTATATATATATATATATATTTATATATATATATATATATATATATATATATATATATATATATATATATATATATATATATATATATATATATATATA